ATTGCTGGAGTAATGTGGGATACCCAGGACCACATGGGAGAATTTTGTAACTGTAATATAAGTGTGGGTGCAGCGTAGACCAACACTCAGGGTTAGGATCAGGGTCACGAGATGGCACCATCAGCTGACCACCAGACCATTGTTGCCTATTTGTTTCCTCTTCCCTTCTAGCCCATAGGACAATAAAAAGGACTTAGGAGTGATGGGAAAACAGAGAAAGAGCAGCAGTTCTTTCTGCCTGTTGTCCCACAGGCAGACTCACTTGTCCTTTCCTCCTAGCCAGTTTTGGAAATTGGGTTCAAAGCCAGACAGGATTCAAGTGAGGGAATGTGAGTGATGCAGAGGAGACGTTCTTCTTTGTCACCCCATCCAAACCTTGAAGTTGGCACACTGCCCGCATTCAGTCACCTTCATTGCCATGTGAAGGTGCTATAAGGCAGGGATGGGCAGATGTCAGGCTCACAACATGTACTAGAATCCTAGGATCCATAGTCTGAGCCAGGTGCTGGTGGAGCCAGGAGCATGGTAACGAAGAACACCTATGGTCAGGCAAGGAATTTGTGATCAGTACCAAAAATCAAATTCACAAATTCATTCACACAAAAATATGCTCCCTCAGTTTTTTTCCCAGCAATCGAATTCATGGAGGAAAAGTTCCTGGGTTGTTGCTGCTGTCCAACATTTGAGAGTCATCAAGCAATGTTGATCCACTGAGGAGCAGCCAAAGATATGTGAGTAGATTCCAATTTTATATCTTCCCACTCCTGTGAAAACTAAGTTGTGGACAAGCCCACCCCATAGATGACCAATGTATGGCAGATGACAATGTATGGCAGCCACATCCCCAGCCAAACCATGATTCATGATGTCAGTCCGTCTATGTTCCAGCCCTGTATAGGAAACATGTAATTATGAACTTCGTTCAGTTGCATGACGATCTTGCTTCTGCTGGGGTGGGTGGACAATCAAACATGGTGCTAAGAGGCAGGTGAACTGTTGGGACACTGTCATTTATTCTGATTTAGCAGCCGTACTAAATTATAAACATGCAGCAGTTAGCCTGCATCTTCAATTTCATGATTTGGAAAACTGAACATGAAACGATGACAATGCCTGCTTTGTTTTTATGCCAGTTTTTATTCCATGCTTCCCCAGTTGAAATGGGATGCAGAGAGCTCCTGAAAACAACAGCTTGCCTTTAAAAAATAGATAAATAAAGATCTCATAGACAGATGTACTAACGGCTTTGTTCTACCCAATTGGGCAGTAGCAGATAACATGCTCTGACAAAATACATAACACTCCAAGAAGACACTAATGGCTTCCCCTACTGCAGTTTCTATGGAAACGAACCCTGAAAGACCGTTTCAAGTATGTGTGGAGACCAATAGAAAACGATGAACAGGTGGTGAGAAATAAATACAAGTTTGGACACAGACGAGGGCAGACCAGAAGATCTCCTGAAAACAGGGATAAGGTAGTCCAAACCATTCACTCAAAAGTAAGCAATTAGATCATGAACAGAGCGGGGAGAAGCAGACATCAGTGGGGGTTTCACCTGTCCATTCCAGTTTTGCCTAAAAAGAGTTTTTTGCTTAAAAAGGAGGAGTGTGACAAGAGAAGCCCCTGCCTCAAACTCTGTGCCTTTGTTCCTTATTGCCCACGGGGACTCCCTAAAAAGGATATCTAGGATGAAATTGAAGTTTTGGGTACATTCACTGAAGGACATTCACAGAGGAAGATTTTTGTACTCTCGTTCTGCCTGAAATTCCCTAGAAGCTTCTCTAGAAAATTTGGTGGGACTACAAGGAGAAAGAGGTTTATCATGAGGGAAGAAAAGATACTATCTATTATACCCTCATGATGATTGCTAGAAGGAATGTAGGCTCATAGAACTGTAGAGCTGGATCGGATGCTAACGGTCATCAGATCCAGACGTAGGATTGCATGTTTCTGTGTTATGCTTTCAGGGGGGAAAAAGCAGCATTGGATGCTATGTAAATGTGCCCACATTTTTAGTAGAACATTTTTCTGTCCTGCAGAGGGACTTCTGTGGTGCAGTGCCAGAAAAGTAGTTGTTATATCACTTCCTATAGATTGTTTACAAGACTGCCTTTGGGGGAGCTAAGACTGCACCCTTGAACTCTCTAACTTGTTTCTTCATATCAGAAACAATTGAATGGTACTTGCAGAGTGGAAGGATCAGCCAACAGTCATTAACTGGACAGTGCCTGAATGTGTTCACAGTCCTCACATTCTTTGGGAAGGCTCTTTTTTCAACCCCCGTCTTCCTGACTGCTATGGGTTTTAGCCCTAACTTTCTTTTGAGTTGGAACAATTTTTGGGGGGGGGGAGGGAGCAGGGCATGATTACAGATATTAAACAGAACTTATTTTACATATATTGCTTAAACTGTTAATGTAATATTTTCTTTCTCGAATATGTTCCATTTCTCCCCTCTAGCTTTTCAGAGAATTTATGTTTTTAACCCACAAGGATATTTATAAGAAAATGGCTGAGATATTGGAGGCATATTCAGATGATATACAGTGGAGCATTGCTTAACAATTGCCTCGCTTAACGAGGAAATTGCTTGACGATTAGGTTTTTGCGATCGCAAAACGATGGTCTAAATGGGAAAAATCTGCTTCACGATGAGCAGTTCCCTGCCTCAGGAACTGATTTTCGCATTACGACGATCTAAAAACAGCTGATCGTCGGGTTTCAAAATGGCCACCGGGTGTACAAAATGGCTCCCCGCTATTTTTAGGAGCCATTTTTCGCTATACAGGCACCTGAAAATGGCCGCCCCTGTGGAGGATCTTCGATGGACGGTGCGTTTTCAGGCCAGTGGAACGCATTGAACGGGTTTCAATGCATTTCAATGGGTTTTTTTATTTCATTTTACGATATTTTCGCTCTATAGCAATTTCGCTGGAACAAATTAACATCGTCAAGTGAGGCACCACTGTACTGACTTCAAACATGGCAAAGAACAGTTCAGTTAATGTTGATCTATAAAAATGCTTGAAACAACGTATTGATTATATTCAGAAATGTTGGTACAAACAGTTCAGTTTGCATTTCTTTATGACTACATATACCAAATAACCAGTGGTGGGATTCAGCAGGCCAACAAACGGTTCTGCAGAATCAATAATACATTAGCTACCGGTTCTGTAGAACTGGTGCGAACCTGCTGAATCCCACCACTGCAAATAACTCATCTAATTAGGATCTAAGCAAATATGTTTGGAAGTGCATAGACAAATGGCTCAAAAAGATTATAAACAGAAATGAAATGCTTTATTTATCAAAACCAGAAAGTTAATCACTGATTTTTTAAAAAAGTACTGTGTTTCTTGTTGAAGTGAATAATATTTGAGAAAAGAATAAATAAATCCAGTTAAATTATTACCAGGAACAGGGAAAACATCAAACTACAGAACATTTTGTTGTGACTATCACAATTCTTTTTATTATTCTTGGCTGTAAACATACAGCCTGTAACTTTTTTCACTGTTGACATATATGAATTTGACTGCAACATGTTTACTTTTGCCAGATGTTTCCAGATAAGACTATTTTGGTTGCTGCTGTGAATGAGGAGGTATGTAATCAAGCAGCTGGCTATTCCAAAAAAATAACAGTTTCTTGGAAACAGATGCAAAAGATAAACCTGCAAAAGCTTTTCTTTTAGCTTTATTGAAAAAAACTTTTTTTCTAGACTGTAACCCATTAAAGAAGTTAATGGTCAGCAGTCTAGTTTCATCTCATCGTGATCAAATATTATGCCTCTTCCCTTAAACTGGCACACTCTAGCTCTCATAGCTAGGTCAGACCTCAAGCATTAGCGAAACAGCCAGGTCGCTTTGCATAACTGCTGTGGGATGCCCTAGCTCTGCACAACTGGCTGAATGATACTGTGGGATACAGGCCTTATTCCATGCGGAAGCACCTGAAGCAAATTACACGCACATGATCTGGATAAAAAAATGTAACAGAAGTGAAGAGGTGTGCGGCACATACTGTCTGGAAAGTTTGCAACTTTTCCTTTCTAGCTAATGTGAGACATACCAGAAGCTGTATGTGTAAGTATTTGTCTTGTATTCTTGAACCAAGTGAAAGTATTAACACCAGCTCTAGATGCAAAACATTAATTTCATACAAATGATCATTGTAGATGGAGAACTGGATGACTACACAATGGCCTGGTTGCTCTGCTGGCTTCGTATCATGACTTCAGCATTTCATTCCCCACAAAACTGTATGACACACTTCATTTTCTGGAGCCCCTTATCTTTGAAGTAAAATGAAATGCCCAACATTGTTTTCAGTGAAACAACAACTGGGAAAATATGCATGAATCAACAGTGAATAATTTGCAATGTCACTTTTTTTAAAAAAAGGAGAATTCCTTCTCTAGATCCTGGTTTGTGAGACATTGCTCTGATTGATTTTGGTGCACCTTTTCAGCAAAAACATAATTTCTATCTTTTTGTGGATTTATTTATTTGAAGTACAGTTTTGATTTACTGGTTGATAAGTAAGAGTATTTACACTAATCCCTTGACAGCCCCTCCGAGCAAGGGGAGCTTTGGCCAGTAGTCAAGTAAATCAAGGCAGCTGTGGCTCCAAAATGTTTGGAAACCACTGCTTTAGATCAACGACTAAACAAAACAATGTTCTCTAATCCATAATAACCTCACTTCAGGATTTTCTGTGGCACAAACTAAAGTCACAAGCCTTTTGTCTTTTACAAACAGGATGAACATCTCTTCAGCTCTGGCACAACTTCTTACCTGGCATTTCCCTTATGCCTGTTCTGTAAATTGCAGAATTTCTGCTCCACAGATCTCTAAATTCCCCAAGAAACATTTTGGGCGGTGAGATTAAGACAACTGCATCTTGTGTGTATGTGCTTTTTGACAAGTGTGGGTAGAAAAACAATAACACAACACTGAATAATTGTTATATAGACAATGAACTTCACCTTTTATCATTTTTTTATTTTAATAAGTTCATATTAAATATGCTGGTGGAAGTATTCTTAAACATTTTTAATCATGCAAAAATAAAAAAGCATCGATTTCCAGGAATGTTTTCTTAACAATACATGAATTGTAACAAAGTTTTCAGTTTGAGCTCCAGTGCAAAATTAAATTGTTAACAGTCTCAATTACCCAACTGTAGCCCACTTGTTTTTGGAGTGTAAACAATTCATTATGAAAATGGTAAAATGATACAGATAAATTCACTAAGCTGAATGGGCAAACTCATGAATTACATTTTTCATGACTCATTAGAAAAGGCTAATACCCCGTAATTTTATTCAGCTAATTTAGTTAATGGTTTCCTGTCAAATTAAGGGTGGCTAGTCAGGAAAATTAGAGGCATTCACTTGGCAAACAGTAAGTATAGTCGGCTTTAAAGATGTCTTGAGAAAAAGCTTAAGCACTTTCCAGAAGTGTTCAGTTAGCCACGTTCCTGCAGGCTTGTCAGTCCTTTACCTGTTTTGAACAACTTTCTCACCTTGGAGTGTTCCTTACTTGATGATCCTTTTGCATCTTTGTGCTTTGAATAAAAACATGAGCTGAAGTACAGAGGCATGCCCTGTGGTTGTGTCTCCATCAGAGTTCATTGTGAGAGGTCTTGTCAGCTGCCTTGAACATGAGGATTGAGTTGAAGATTTTTAGGGCTGGTCCCAGTTTAATGCTCATTATTTTGACTATATCTGCTTGTGTCATTAGCAGAAATGCTTCTCCATCAATTTGCTTTAAAAGAAATTTGGCAAAATCTGTATGTTAATACATCTGTACATTAACGTATACATTAACTGTAATAATTTACTTTCAGTCAAAACTGCAATCTAGAACTTAGGACAATTTGAATTACAAAATATTTCACTTTCAAGTCTCTACAACAATATGTTACTTACTGAATTGTAATGAGTAAAATGAGTAAGCAACATGTAGCCTATGCACACAGCATGTATTCATAGCAAATATGTATCAGTCTTCCTATCACTAAGATGCCTTCACGCATCATATATCCATAAGTGATCAAACTACTATGTTTCAATATCCTGGGAATACACTTGATTGTTCTGCTCAAGCCAATGAGGTTAATGTTCGTTTAAAGTCTGCAAAAGTGCACAGTTAGCTAATGGTAGTAGGAAATATTCCTTTCCTAAAAAGCTACTAGAGATGGAATGACTGACAATTCCCACATCCTCATTATTATTCTCAAGAGTTATACAGGGGTGGGGGTGAAATTACATGGTTGTTTAAATGCTGAACACACTCAGTTCTTACATTTCCCAACATATAAGAAGGTGGTAAACTAAAAATATTTCTTCCTCCAAACCAGTTCACAGAAGATTTTTGAATAGCTAGAAATCTGATTTCAGTCAAGCTTTCTAGCAATTTTGACCATATAATGGAAATTTTGGGCTGGGGCCTATTTGGAGTATCACTCAGTTCTGTACAAAGCACTGTTTCAGGATTTCAGAAATGTGGAACTCCTGGCCTACTTACAAACCTTGATCATATGCATGAAATTCTTGATTCTAGGTTATTGTTTTATGATTAATACCATGTCCTCCATGTAATTTTACTAAAGAAAAATGGAATAGTAAAAAAACCAAAGAGGAAGACTCCTAGTTCCCAGGGTGACAGCTGGTTTTCATTCTTCCTTTTTTTTTTGTTTTTGTTTTCTTTTTTAGGATTTTTGTTATGAGTTTTAATTTTTTTATTTTCAATTGTGTTTTCTATTTTATGAGATTGTAACCCGCCCAGAGTAGTGCTGGGACACTAATGGATGCGGGATATGAAACGAACAAATGAATACCAATTCTGACCTCAAAGACAGCCATGCAAAGGGTCTCTCCTGAACAACAAGCTACTCTTTGTTAATACCCAGTGTGATGTAGTGCAGGCATTCTTAACCTTTTTTGAAAGAAACGCCCCTTTGAGGAAATTATCATTGCCCCCCTCCCCACAGCAGCGCCACACTGCCGCCGTGGGGAGTGGGGCGATGATAACTTCCTCAATGTTGGCGGCGGCACCACATCCACTGCTAGCACCAGCTGCTCTGGATTCAGTGGCGCAGGGAGGGGGGCGATGATAACTTCCTCAATGGCGGAGGCAGCAAGGTGGCTCCATTGCCCCCTTCTGTTACTTCAACCCCACGTTGCCCCCTTTCATTCTATTGCCCCCCTGAAAAATGAAATTGCCTCCTGGGGGGCGATATCACCCAGGTTAAGAATCACTGATGTAGTGTAGTAGTCCCCAACCTTTTAGGGGCTTCGGACCAGCTGGGGGGGAGTGAGCTCCATGCAGTCCCCAACCTTTTGGGGGCTTCGGACCGGCTGGGGGGGAGTGAGCTCCATGTGGGGGTGTGTGCAGGGGCACATCATGCTTGTGTAATGGGCGCATTGTGCTCATGGGGGGTGTTGCGCTCTTGCACATGCGTGACACCCCCCAGCGCAAGTGCAACATGCCCACTGTGGGTGTGACATGCCCACTGGCAGCATGACATGCCCCCTGCGGGTGCGACACCCCCCCGTGTGAGTGTGACACACACACATACAGGGGGCAGAGATCTGTGTCCGTAGCCCAGTTCCTGCAAGCCCACGGACCAGCCGACATGACCCCTGCGGGTGCGACACTCCTCTGCGTGAGTGTGACACACACACATGCAGGGGGCAGAGATCTGTGTCCGCAGCCCAGTTCTTGCAAGCCCACGGACCAGCACCGGGCCGCGGACTGGGGGTTGACAACCCCTGATGTAGTGGATAGAGTGATGGATTAGGACTCAGGAGGCCTGGGTTTGAATCTCTGCCTAGCCATGGAAACTCACTGAGGCAGTGGAACTGGTAAAGTCACTCCTTAAATATCTAACTTACTCTGAAAGGCCTATTAGGGTTGCTCTAATTGCTCCCGACTTGATGCAACATAACAACAAACTCGTTGTCAAGGGCCATGGTTAAGGTCACAGTTTGCACCTTTTCCATTTTAATGGTTTCTGACTTCACTGAGTACAGGATTACCATCCAGTAAACCACCCATGCAACCACTGTGTAACAATTTACTAACAGAAGTAGGACATCAATATCCAATGAAGTAGACTCTACCCCATGAAAACTTATGGTTAATGATGTCAGTCCTTAAGGTGTCACAAGACGCTCTTTGGTGTTCTTTGCAAAAGATTGACATGCCTATCCCCTGAAAAATGCAACATCCTCCAAAATCCTCTCAGTATTTTCTTTTATCACAAGGGGACAGAACAACTCTCAGGTCTCTAAAGGCTCCTTCTAGACTAGCCTGTCCAATTGTAGCATCAAATACAGTGGCAGAAATCCTGTTCCATAACTTATGTGCATAAGGTGGATTATGTCATCATCTACAGTGATTTTTCAGAAAAAAAAATCTAATTGCCTTCCCAGAGTTTCAGAGACTTTCATGGGATCCTTTTTATTATGGGGACACCATTGGGGGCCTTGGGTTGACTCTTTAATTACTAAAAATTACTAAAAATTCCAGCCATCAGTAAAATCACCCAGTTGGCAGTGATTTTTGTAAATTTGAAGATTCTTCCCCCTCATCCTACAGTAGCATAATTTTGGCAACAGGATTTCGGCCAGTATTTTCAATTCTCCTCTCACTTCTTTCATTTTTCAAGAGGTCAAAAATGTTTTCCCTTTATTGAGATGCCACAAATTACTGAAATGATCCAAGAGGCTAAAGAACTGTAGTTCTTGCCTTATCCAAGACTCTCATGCTTGTAGGAATATTCACACTATTTTAACAGTGAGTTCATAATCTGAATGCAAAAAATCCTGACATAAACACAAATCATACTCTGTAATCTAAAATAGCACAAATCTATTATACTCCTGGACCTTTTTCAGATATTTATCATCTCCATAAGTTTCTATGTTAGTACAGGGGAAAGCTCTTCCTCATCTCTTTAAAAAAGCACTCCTAAGTATGTGATTAGTGGTTATAAAACACACACACAGAGAGAGGTTTGGGTTGGTCTTTCTTTCTTTCTTTCTTTCTTTCTTTCTTTCTTTCTTTTTTGCATTGTTTCAAGATTCTTAATTATACATTCAGTTCTATCTCACTAAAAATAATTCTAATGGACTCTGGTGGAAATAATGCAAGAAAAGGAGTAATGTTGAAAGAATGATTGATTATAATGCAGAAAGTCCTATTAAGGACTATAGCATCTTCTGAATACACGGAACAACTGATCTGTTATACTCACCTCATCTTTAAACACCTTGCCATGCTCTTCACAGCCTGGCAAAGTCCGTATGAACTCTGAGACCTGCCAACAAATTTCAAAAGTCTTTAAAATAAAACTTCAATAGCTGAGGGATAACAATGTGAATGGTGTTATGTGTTTATGGTCTCCAGAATCACTGAAACAGCATGCAAGTTCTCTCTGGATGGAAAAGAACTCACAATCTCACATATATCTGCACACAGATTGCCTCCATGAGAGGGTTTTTTCAGTCACTTAAGTCTGAACATTTCAGACATTCTTGGAGGCGGAAGGCACAATCTGCTTCTCTACTCCAAGCCTGTGTATGGAAAGAAAGCCTCAATGAGGTTTGAGTGTTCCAGTATCACAAGACTTGCACCCTCAACCATTACTCACTGCACTCATAACAGATTTTAAAGATGCCAGGGAAGAAAGGAGGTGGTATTTAAATTCCCATGCCAGTATCGGCTCTTGTCCTTTTATTTGCTGCTTTTTATCAGTATTAAAATTGCCCTGAAGGAGAATACTGAAAGAATAAATAAATCCTGACAATAAATTAGAACACAACAGAAAATAACAAAAGCAGATAGGAAGTCTGTTAAACCTCTCTGGTTTTGCCTCAAGGCACAAGAACTTGTATTAAGTAACTAGCTCTTCCCTGGAGGCAAAAGGTTGACTTCAGCCTCAAGAGTAGGGTTCAAACTGTTCATTTCCAGGGAAAAAAATGTTATGCTGTAACATATACATACAAATGGAGCAACTGTAGGGCTCATTTATTACATTTTTTAAATTGCCCTTTTTTTTGTTTAAAGGAATAGGTTACAAACAACATACAAAATGTAATAACCCAAACAGACAATACTAGCAGCAAAAAGCACATGCAACAAATAGATTTCTCATAATTATAAATTCATGGGCAAGATCGGGTACTAGAGATCTTCCAACAGAATAGTGGAATTCAGGGGAATGGGGCAATCTTCCTTTCTCACTGCATCCCCTCACTCATCTGGAAAGCAAAAATCTGCTCTGAAGGCTTGTGGAAGTCTCTGCGGTCACCTTCTGGAGCTACTCCACATCAAAGACAGGGGGTTATGTCTAGGGATGGCAAAAATCACATCTTCTGACACGGAAGCTGCTGGAGTGGATGATAGATAGAGCAGCTCAGCAAGGTGAGGCAAGGCCTCTTCATAGAAATTAGACCTTGCAGAGGTGGAAATCAGCGGCAAGGGCTTCTTGTGAGACAGAGGTATCAGTCAGACCTCCTTCCTGGAAGACCACTGAAGCTCCTTTTATTTGAATTCTATGTGAATACTTTCCCTTCCTTAGCTGAAGATCAATTAAGACCAGGGAAGCACGTTCTCTTAGCTTTCCAGAAGGACATCATGTGGTCGCACCTTCACATAAGAGAGTGACGGTCCGCTGATTCCTTTGCTTAAACTTGGCTCTTACGGCCATATGTCTTGGCTGGAGGATATCCCCAATTGGCAACTGACACTCTCTCCTTGGAGTATTTGCGTCCATATCTACATTTAAATAAGACTATTTTGGAGCCATATTCTTGCCATTTTCTTTGGGGATCACTTGAGGAATTGAGAGCTTTTCTTTCAGCACCTATTTTAACCTGCTGCCCTTAGCCACACAGCTTCCAGTTAAATCAGCAGCTTCTGTGCCGTGCACACACCTGCACTTTGCAGGGGAACTGCACAAATCTAGGCAGCTTGGCAAGACAGAAGGGAAGGAATTTCTGCTGTGATGGTGCTGTTATTCCAGCATCATGCTAGATTTAGGCCAGTATATGTGCTTCATACTAATGGGACTATATCCAAAAAGACTAGATAATGATATGCAGTCTTGTTCAATTTTCAAAACACACCTCATCTGTGCTCCATTTGGAAACCTTACTAGCAGGAATTCCAGCCACAGTGGGAAGGAGTTTGCTCTGCTGCTCCCACCGCAATGGAAAGGATGGGCTTGTCCCTTTCGAATGCAAAATGAGCGGCTGAGGATGGGAACCTTTGTTACAGAAATCCTTGGCATCTGCAAAGAAAAGTGTCATATGACATGATGAATTACAGCAGACCACACTTGTAAAATCATTTTGTACTTTATGTTACTGTAGTCAGCTGGTATGATTCATTGTTAAAAGTAGTTTTAAAAATCCAGAAACATGTAGTGATCCTAAAGCTGCTTCTATGTCAGTGGTTCCCAACCTTGGGTAACTCAAGTTTTCTTGGACTGCAATTCCCAGAAACTCCAGCACAGCTGGTGGTGAAGGCTTCTGGGAGCTGCAGTCCAAAAACACCTGGATGATCCAAGGTTGGAAACCAATGCTATATGTGATTCACAATTATATTTCCTGTAAAACTAGTTGTAACTGTTCTGTCTACTTACCAGAAAAAATAAATGCAAAGGAAACTAATAACATTCTGATGTTCCATTGTTGTTGCTGTTGCAATGACATCAAGTGGCATCCGACTTATGGTGACCCTATGAATGAGCAGTCTCCAACATGTCCTGTCCTCAACAGCACTGCTTCGCTCTTGCAAACTCAAACCTGTGGCTTGCTTTCAGGAATCAATCCCTCTCATAGAATCATAGAATAATGGAGCTGAAAGAAGCCTATAAGGCCATTGAGTCCAACCACCTGCTCAATGCAGGAATCTAAAGCAATGTATCTCTAACAGATGGCTGACTAACTTTCTCTTGAATACAGTACCTTACCACATTCCAAGGTTATCGGTTCAATTGTTGCACTGCTCTAACAGTTAGGAAGTTTCTTTTTGTTTTTTGATATTCAACTGAAACCTGACTTCCTATAACTTGAGCCCATTATTATGTATCATAAACTCCGGGATGATCGTGAACAAATCCTGCCCCTCCTCTGTATGACAATCTGTCAAGTATGTGAAGAATGATCATAGCTTCTCCCAGTCTTCTTTTCTCAACATCAAACATGGCCAATTCTTTCAGTGTTTCTTCATAGGGCTTGGGGAGCAGAGCCTATACTAACATGTTTCTTTCTGATCGCAGAAGCTCTAGAAGATTCTGACAAGGCTCCACGAATGTGCGGATTACCGAGTGTGTGATTCACAGAGGCCAAGAAGAAGAACTGTCACTCCCAAAGCCACTAGGAGTGGCAATTCTTATTTAAATCAAGGTGCAATCCCCCCTCATCCCCCCCATCTTGTTTCATAAAAAGGTTGTGAGATGTTTCTTGTTCACTTGTTTATAAAGTTGGGAGTAGACTTCCAGTTACTTCTTCATTTGTGCGGTGGGCTCCAAGACCTCTCAAACTTGCCTACTCAAGGTTTAAATCATAACTTTGTGATTTCAAAAGAATCTGTACATTTCTGAAAATAACCTGAAATATTTACCTTTGGTTTTGTTCAAAGGCTCTTCGCTTTCCATCTTCTTTCCTTCAAATCCATCTTTCTTAGCAAATTCCCTGGTTGTCTGGCATCCCCTAAAGAATACAAGGCTTTCACCTTTAATTAATTAAACAATTAAATGGCAATGTTGGTTCAGTCTGGTAATATGTGCATCAGACCTCTCCTGACAACGTTACCATTCAGAATTGCTGCATAAAGTCCAACACCACTCCTACTATATCATATAAAATTTCACAAGCTGCCTTCAGAGCTAAACAATGATGTTCACAGCCACCATGTACTATAGCATGCCTTTTAAAATTAGCCACACAAATGAAAAAAAAAAAGAGTGGAGTATGTAATTTGCCATCTCCCCACATTTGCCCCCTGGATGTACATTTATTTCTCACTCCACCCTACCTAACAGGGGACATAGAAGGAACCTCCTCAAAAAATTGAAGTACATTCGGACGTCCCTTGGGCAATGGTGTATAGCTGGCCAATCCTTCATTTCCAGAAGTGTTGCACTGCAAACATGCTGATGAACAAAATGACCCAATGGTGCTTTCAGGACCACATTAATAATCTCTATCATTTTAATTTGTTTTTATTTTGTTTTATTTGTTTAATTCATTGTTTTAAATTTTACCTATATTTCATATATGTCCATAATTTTAAAGTGTGCAATGCTCTGATAAAAATAAAGAAAAGACCTAGCTAACAAAAGAAAACATGGTGGTGTCAGTCTCTGGTCTGTCCAAATGTTATAAGGGAAAGAGAATCCTGAGCCTGTATTTGCTGCCATTGTTTCTGCTACCAACATGCTTCCTTTTCAGCAGTTCCACTGATTCCTTAAAAGCTTTGTGTAGTTGCTTATAGCCATAGGAAGTTAAAAAAAACTATGAAATAAATTAACCTGAAAGGAAAGAGAGACCTTTTGGGAGTTCTGTGTCCTTCATGTTCACTTTGGAAAAGCATGGGATAAATGTGTGGAGAGTTGGAAATTGCCCGATCCATCTCAACGGCAGGGCAGGCTGCCTTCCTACTGTTAGTGTCAGGCTAATGATAGCAGTCTTGTTCATCAATCTTGCTTATGTGAGATTCATTGGGAACAGGGGAAAGGACAAACTTAACTGAACAAGGGGGCACTGGGAATATTTTCTACATTAAGTGTTATTAATTTCAGCAAGATTTTTTTAAAACAAATCAACCTCAGTCATTTGCTTCTTTGGGACAAACTATTTGTTTCATCCTATTACTGAGAAGCTACCAGGAAGGATGAATAACTACAGGAAACTAAAGTGAGATCCCTAATACATCCAGACGAAGAAAAGTTAATGGCATGTCACTGACGGTACGACCACATACTAAATGGGATATAGCATAAAGGAAAAAGAAAAATGCAGACTGTTGAATCTCTTTTTATACAAGCATGTCTAAGGTTATAATCTCATGAACACTTTTACATGGGAGCAAATCCTACTGAATTAAACATGCACAGAACTAGATTGTATATAAGTGGAGGGAGAGTGAAGTAATCTGTCCAAAAGTTATAAAGATGACTTTATATACCTGATCACCAGAGAGACTCACTCAGAAACCTTTGGTCAGTTTTGTCCCTAATCTATTTTCAATGTCGCTTTAAGGATAAAACAGTATTGTAAGGGAGACCAAGGTATCTGATGAGAACTCCTTGATGCAGATAAAAAATATAATGAATAAATAGCTACAGTATCTTGCATGTTGAAGTTGGAGTTATTGAACAAGCAGATATGGAAATGAGGATATATATTATTAGTATCTAAGGTCTGTTATTTCCAATCAGCATTACAGTGATGTCCCGCTTAATGATTAACCCGCTTGATGATGAATCTGCTTCACAACAATGTTTTTGCAATCGCTATTGCAATCGCAAAATGATGTTTTAATGGGCAAAATCCGCATTATGATGATCAAAACAGCTGATCGTCGGGTTTTCAAAATGGCCGCTGGCTGTTCAAAATGGCTCCCTGCTGTGTCCAGGATGGATTTTTCAGAAAATGGCCGCCCTATGGAGGGTCTTCGCTGGACGCTGAGGTATTTCACCCATTGGAATGCACTGAACTGGTTTTCAATGCATTTCAATGGGCTTTTTTATTTCGCTTGACGAGGATTTCACTGGAACGGATTATCCTCGTCAAGCGGAGGCACCACTGTATTTATCAGGTGTATATCTAGATGCACATCTGCGGTAATATGTCAAGCATCTGATGAAGTTGACAGTGTCACCATCAGAACATTCTTGTTGTTGTTGTTGTTTAGTCGTTAAATCGTGTCCGACTCTTCGTGACCCCATTCATGTTACATCACACCAAAGGCCTTTCAGTCCAACATTCTGTTTGCATGGCTACCTCCTAGACATCACCTATTAGACATACCACAGTCTACAGAACTGAGTAACACCATCATCGTTAGCAAGCACTACAAAACTGTTTACATGAGTATTCCAAGAATTCAGCTAATGGACTATTAGAACACATCATTTATGTGACACAGTACATTTAGTAATCAAGAGGCCAGAACAAAACACTTTATTCACAGAAGCAATTACTGGCAGTAGGATTAGGAGGATTAGTGTCACAGAACATTCTACATTTAAAGGTATCTAAAATATACCTGTAGTTCTTTTCTTTGGCATCACACATCAGAGGCTTTTTGCAAACAGGTTTCACATCTGTATTTTCTTGTTTTGGTGAATGGAGATATACTGGAGATTTTAGGCCACTGGGACTGGGGCATTTTCTATTACTGTTTAAAAACAGAAGTGCAAGCGTTTAACATTCTGCATCTGTTTCAAAACCAACCACAGAAGTAAATCACAGAATTGTAGCAAAGCAACACACATTTAGCACAGATTTGGAAATCTCATTCTGGAATTCATTCACTTCCAGAGTTTGGACACTAACCTAGGCCTTTACTTTTTTTTAAAGTTACAGTAAGATCTGTGCTTAGGCAACCATATACATCATTTAAATTCTAACAAAATATAATGATTATGATATAACACTAGAACTATGCAGGTATCTAGCTTGGATACAAGTATTTCAGCCCATGACTAGAAAGATATTCTGTTCATGAAAAGAGAATGATGCTTCTGCAAATCCCACTGCTAAGCAGCTGGGAGGGATGGGATGCATTCTCCCCCCCCCCAGTAACAGGTGAACGGGACCAGCAGGTGATAATTGTGTCAAGGCTATGCCTTGTGACAGGGTGTGACAGGGTGCAGGGCTTTGAAATGAGCCTCACCTCAAAGAGAGGGAATTGTGATCCCTGCTGCCTGGATCAGGCATGGTCAGGCATCAAAAGGAAACAAAAGTCTGGGTCTTCAAACCGGTGTGTGTGTGTGTGTGTTCTTTACCTGGATCACACAGGCATCATGCTTGATCACCCCAAGCTGCTCTGGGGTGATAGTGTACACTTGTCAGACACAGAGGCGAAGATCTTAGATAACCTGAGGCCGGGTCCCTTATATGTACTGTTGCTTAATGGGGGTAGGGAACTAAACATGAGCTAGCACTTCTGTGGTGGGTCATGCAAGGTTAGGGAAAGAAGCAGCGAGTCCCACTGGGTGCCATTTTGGTGGTTACATAACCTGAATGGGTACCATGAATCATATAATTCAAGTACACAAACAAGGATGGCATTCTGAACCTCGGGAGATGACTAACCTTGGTTTATGAGAATCAGAGGGGAGACAGGCCTGAGGATGTCTCCCCAACCGAGCTGGCTGGGGCAGGGCCGGCTGTGTGCAACATGTGCCCTGGGGCAAGGGACTCAACCACACCGGACTGGAGAGGGCCCAGATTGGTCCACCTGCTCTTGTTCCTAGGCTTGATGCACCACCTTAAGCCCCACCTCAGTTCAGGGATTTAAACACCCAATAAAGTTGTGGTTCTAGTTTGAACCTGTATATTTTGTCCCATCTCTTTATTTACTTGGAGGGGGGGATGGCAACTACAGGACTGGATCCAGCAGTGACATTTTGCACAGAAAAGAATGTCTGTTTCGTTCAGCAAAACCAAGATGGAGTTAATTCTCCGTAGCCCCCATGATTCTGCAGATCACTCTGGGGGTATGATGCAGAGGCCGAGCTGGAAAGTATGCTTCTTGAAGAGGGGAAAACAAAGAAATCCTATCAGGGATAGCCAAATCCTTGGCTGCATGTGCCTGAAGCAGCTGTCTGGATACCACCCTTAGCAGTATATTCTAATGGCACAACAGAGATGCAGAGAAGTGTACTGAATGCTGTGGAATGAACTATATTTTGAAAAGAAAATGTATTTTAACTGGAAAACAATCATACAATCAGTAATTGTCAATAGTATTCTGAGGCAAACCATACACAGAATATGCATGTCTATGGAGCCCTCAGAGACACTGAACTTTAAATAAAGCACAATTACAATTCTGTTATGGTCATAATTACTTGACTGGAGGAGAAAATGGTGTTTCATTTCCTTCTGGCTTTCTATTCCAATGCGTAGGTGGATTATTCAGAGGTAGTTCTCCACTTAAACGGTCGGAAAGGATATGCTCCTTGTTCAGATTTATCTCAGAATATGGGCAGCTGACAGCACTGAAAATTGGAGCAAAGGGAGAGAGAGAGAAAGAGATTAGACACAGAAAGCACTTCCTGGCTGAATCAAACACGGATTACAAAATGCCTGGAATTTGCTTGAGCCCATTCACACATTCAAGTAAAAGAATATATTGTAGCATTCCTATTTTAGAGCAGTGCCATTCTGAATCTAGAACACAGTTCCTAACCAGAGAAACCTTGATACAAGAAATGTATTTGAAGTAGAACTTTTTAATATACAAACATAGGGTTTATTTAATTTCCATGCAAGAGCTACATACTTTGTTCAGTGTCAGATCTCACACACCACATTAAACCCTCAGTGGTATTCCTAAAAAGCTTAACCATATGGTGTTCCCTGCAGTCAGCTATGATATAATGGCACTTTAAAAGAATGCCAGGAGTGATGAATGATGGTCACCCTTCCCCTGGCTTTTAGATGGAGGAAGGCAACCCAAAGGGGCCCATATAGCAGCACAACACAGTAATGCTAATGTGAGATCCTCTTCTTGCTGTAGTCTCTGCCAAGAGAAACATGTGATACAGAACTCGTGCATTTTGTAAGATTTCCTTCCTCCTTTAGATTTACAAATGGGGGAAAAAGTAATTTTAACCATTCTAGAGCACATATTTCTTGTCACATAGGATACAGGTGGACAATTTGCAAGATTTTGCTCTCCAGTTTCAGTCTGTTTCTAAAAAAGCAGCCATCTGTATTTTCTCCTTCACACAACAGAAATCTCTGTCCCCTTCTGTCCAGACAATGGGGTTTTTCTGCAGCATTTCCAAATGTTAAGGCATGATCCGTGTTCCAGGACTCAATTCCTCTCTGGCTGCCTCACATTTTTTGATACTAATTGTCTGATTCTGATGTAAAATCCGCTAGTGGATGAGAAGGGGAGAGAAGTTATGGCCACTGGCAGGGACAAGGTGTATAAGTGCTTATGAGTGCTAGGAGGAGGCTGGGGAAATTTTTTAGTGTTTTCCTCTTCTTTTTTGCAAATGTGATCTATTTACTTGTGAGACCTGACATTCTCTATCTGATTCAACAAGGCGCAGCCTCCGCTTTGGACCTTCATTTTAAAGGATGAGACTCTGGCTCTAATCTCTAGCTAGGGTGATCTGGGGACTTTTCTGTATCTTGCCAGTCCTAAACTCTGCAAAGGCTAGGCTGAAGAAAAGTTTTCCAGACTTTAAAACATTGTTTTAAATGTCTGATAGTGTAGGGTAATGTGGCTCAGGGAGGATTAAAGAAGTCACATTTCAGAAGTGACAAAGAGTTATAAAATGAAAGTAATTTAATTAAGAATAGAAATTGGACTCATGCACTTCCCAGGTACCACACAACTGGCCTAAAATTGCCTTCTCAAATTTTGACAGTAATAGATATATTACTATCAATACAATGCACAAAATTCTTTCTGCCAGATCAACAGAAAGAATATTAAAGACCCCTTTTCTTTCCCGTGAGATGAAACAGATGCTGGGAAATGGAATTACTTTTACCTTTTCACTTTATTTTTTGCCAAGGACCGTTCTTCTGTCGCAAACAAAAGAAAAATGAACTCTGCACAGTCTACCTGCTGTTTCATTTTCAAGACTACAGTTATCTTTCCACACTTCATTCTACATTTACCACTCATTGCGACGGGATTGCTTTTAATATCACAAGAGTCTCTTTGTGAGTGGTAGCTTAAACAATGTGCCAGCCTAATGACTGATGACAAAAAACCAAGTTTCTTTGCATAATATGCAAAAAACACACCTCCATCTAATTTATACAAACCGTAGGTTGTACTAATGAACAGTCCCAACATGTGTCTTATAAAGGTTTGGACAGAAGAAACTATGCATCAAAATATATTTTCTGTCATATCAATCTACCTTAATCTGTATAATTTTCTTCTTGACATTTAGTTCTGGGTAACTCTCCAACTTTATGGTCACAATATACTTGAACAATTTGGTGAGCTTCATCAATTGCAAAGAGGATGTCAAACAGGAATGGGAAATAAGCAGCTCCACCAGAAAAATATTGCAGCTTCCTTGAAACTCTAGGGCCTCTTCCTATATATTTTAAAAAGAAATTAGGTGTCTATTTTGTTCAGAAGTCCCTTGTGCCCTCTACAAATTGTCAGAGTATAGAAATTTTATAAGCTTGAACCTGTATATGTGTTTCATTAACGAGCGAGGGCTTTCCATCCATGCACACACATAAAATTCCCCCAACACTCCCCACCCACTAAAAGTCCCCACTAAAAATACAAACATCTACACCGCAGGCCAAGTAACACAGTCCAACTAACTATTCACTACTGGTGGTCTTTAAGCTCATTATTAAGTGAAAACGTGTGGTCCGAGTCTTAATTGTTCTGTATCTTCCGCCAGATGGCAACAGTTCAAAAAAGTTATAAGCAGGATGGGAAGAATCTCTCAGGATGCTGTGTGACTTCCTCAGACAGCAGGATGTGAAGATGTCATCCAGGGCTGGTAGCTGGAGCCTGATGATATTCTGGGCAATTTTAATGGTTCTCTGTAGAGCTTTTTTGTTCACTACAGAGCTACTCCCAAACCATGCCAGAATGCCATAGGTTAGGACACTCTCAATGGTGCTACGATAGTATGACAGAAGTAAATGCTGAGATAAATTTAACTTGCCAAGCATTCTCAGGAAATACAGCCTCTTCTGTGCCTTCTTCACTAGCATGTTGGCATTTATATTCCATGAGAGGTCCTCTGAGAGGTAAGTGCCCAGAAATTTAAAACTACCAACTCTCTCCACTTCCTCGCCATTTATGTACAGTGGTAAATGTACATTTCTCTTCCTCCTAAAATCAATTATGAGTTCTTTAGTTTTTTTGATGTTGTGTGAGATGATTTTCTTTACACCAAAGTATCAACCCTTGTACTTCCTTTCTGTAAGCAGACTCATTGTTCTTATTTATGAGCCCCACCACTGTCATATCATCCGCAAATTTAATAATTGTGTTGGTGTTATACAGTGGGGTGCAATCACATGTGTACAGGGAATAGAGGAAGGGATTTAGCACACAGCCCTGGGGAGCTCCTGTACTTAGTACCAGGGTAGAGGAATGGTGAGATCCCATCCTTACTGACTGTGGCCTATCTGTCAGAAAGTCCTGTATCCACACGCAGATCTTCTGAGGTAATCCCAGGTTGATCATTTTAAAAAACAACCTATTTGGTAGAATGGTATTAAAAGCAGAGCTATAATCCACAAACAACAGCCTCGCATAAGTTCCCTGTTGTTCAGCTAATAGAGGGTTTGAGGCCTTTTTCAGTTAACAAAAGAAACTCCTACCTTTTTTTAAAAGTACATTCAGTAACAAAACTTGTAAAAGCAACCTTGAAGGAACTGTTGCATTAAAATTAAAGTAACAATTACTGTAAATAAAGTAATAAAATAACAAATACAGTGGTGCCTCGTTGCTATGCAATTTAAAAAAGCCCATAGGAATGCATTGAAACCCCTTCCTATGGGCTTCAAACTCACCTTTAAACGAAAATCCTCCATACGGCAACCATTTTCGCTGCCCGGTAAGCGAGGAATTCATCCCAGAAAACAGCGGGCGGCCATTTTGGAACCGCCAATCAGCTGTTAAAAAAATCATCGCTTTGCGATGACCGGTAAGCGAAACAGGGTACCGATCATCGCAAAGTGATTTTTGCCCATTTAAAACATCACAATGTGATCGCTTTTGTGATTGCAAAATCTTCATCGCTATGCAATTTCGTCGTTAAACGGGGCGCCTGTTAAGCGAGGCACCACTGTATGTAAATTAGCCTCTTTGGCTATTCCCCTCCTTCTTTAGTCTCTTCTCCATTGGCTGTGTAGCCTGTGTGCTTCCAGAGAATCTGAAAAACACCCCTCCACCCTGCTGAGATCACCCACCAGTGATGTAATCTAATCTACTAAAAGTCCTTTCACTTTCCTGTTAGTAACCAGTGGCTGGAAACAATGCCAGAACTTAGGTGATGAATAGGAGGTCTTATAACAGGAGAAAAATTACTTTTACTTGCCAGGTTTTGTTATTTTCCCTCCCTGTAAAGAAGAGATGCCTGCATTTATATTATTTCAGGGTTTCTTATCACTTAACTTCTCCCCCCTGCACTCTCCTTCTCCGTCTTCTTCTTATCTCCCCTTTTCTATTTTCACCCCACTGTATCATTGCCTTCTAAATGGTTCTTAGGAAAAGTTGTGAACAAAATGGGGTACTGCATTGTTGCTGCTTGTAGAGTTCATGACCCAAAGACCTTAGCCCTGTTGGTTGTTAACTGAGCAAGCTGAAATCAGCACACAAGGCAGAGTTGCACGCTATCCCTGACCCACCTACCACTGCCTTCCTACACATGGAGGGTGACTTTCTGAACAAGATACCCTCCACCCAAAACCCTCGTTTTCCAGCGTTGTAACTCATGTAAAGTGCCCCATGAACAGCAGAGGTGAAACAATTGATAAAATGGTATAGCAAGAATAACTTGCTTATAAATACTTTAAAAACTAAGGAGCTTGTAATAGATTATAAGAAGAAGGGGGTGGATATTCCACCATTATTCATCAGTGGAGACTGCGTAGAAAGGGTGAGGGTTTTTTTGTGTTTTTTGTGGGTGTCCATATTGAGGAGAACATGACTTGGAGCGTAAATATCTCAGAGATATTGAAAAAGGCTCAACAGAGATTGTACTTTCTAAGGATGCATAGGAAGACTAACATCACTCAGACTGTTGGTGTCCTTTTATCGATACCCAATAGAAAGTGTACTGTCATACTGTATGTGCATGTGATATGCAGGTTGTACAGTGGCCCAGAGCAAATCACTCCAGAGGGTGATTAATACAGCACAGAAGATTGCTGAGTGTCCCCTCTCCACCTTGGAGGAACTGTACAGGTCCCGCTGTCTTAAAAACGCACAAAATATTATAAAGGACACCTTCCGCCCTGGACACTCTTTGCTTGAACTACTGCCATCAAGAAGACGCTATAGATCTATTAAAACAAGGATAGATTTAAAAAGTTTTTATCCAAGGGTGGCGACTCTGCTAAATTCAGTTAATATTTAATTTGATTTTATTGTAGTGTTGTATGTGAATGTATTTTGTTGCCATTGTATTATGTTGGAATTTTGTAAGGAGTTTACATGGAGTTTTAGCTGAATGAGTGATACACTGTCTGGATAGCACTCTGGTAATTTCATTGCACATGCAATGACAATAAAGTGTTATTCTAGAGGGTGCACAGGGGGCAATGGAGTTGGGGACAGAGTGGCAACAACACCCCTTTCAACATGTTGACTTAATACAGTCCAACAATGAATGAACACTGGACCCTTTTGAAGGCTTGAGCATGCATAATAGAATTTCTTACTTTTCCCCTCTTTGAAATAGCAGATTCTCATGCCATGTCACAAACTGTTTTGGAAACTGCCCTTAGTTTCAGAAGAGGTATCCCGTGTGGCACAGAGATAGGCCTTCTGAGATATGCCAGCCAAAACCCTCTCTGGCACATGGAAGAGTGTGCACATCTTTAGAAATCCAGACCCCAAGTTACGGTAGGTAAATAGGTATAGAATTTATCATAAATAAAACATTTAGTTAATTTTATTTTATCATCTATTCAAATTTGGATAGTGTAACTAGAATTAGCAAATTTTGGGGATATTGCTCTTAGAAGAAAAAAAGGAAACAAAACAAATATGCCCTACACCTCACATATGATCACTATTATGAATGACAATGGAAGCCCTGATCACTAAAGTAAGCAGGCAAGCAAGCAAGCAAGCAAATAATGGAAACCAAATTACGCTCTGGGATGACCTAAGGTATTATTCATACATTTTAAGGAGCTATTTTCAGTTTTGGGAAAACGTTTTAGTATTCCTAATTTACAGTGCTTAAAATAAGACAACTTCTATAATTTTAGCCTATTTTGGAATTCAGCCTACAATGAAGCTATTATGTAAACACACTGGAAGATTTCTATTGCAACAACTTTTGTCAAAATGAATGAAAAATAATTCAATTTGTTTCCATTTTTAAGGTGTCTTATGCAAATGAGACAGAGTAAGGTGGTCAGCAATAAAACACTTAAAATAGCAACAGCTGCGTTCATATGCCAATTCTATTCTTAAAACTTCACAGTGCACTAAAAACATGTTCTTGATGGGTTGTGCTTCCAGCGTTATTAATACTTAATCATTTAGCAGATGTAACTTATATTTACTCCACAATTCTTTTTGAAAAATCTCACAAAAGTACAGTATAAGATAGTACTAGACAGGATCTGCATTGTTTGATAACTTTACAAAAAGTTAGAAAGTATATTTTCTACAACATTCAATTTGTCAGATAAAAACACAAAACAGGAAATTATCTGTATGCAAATGCAAAAACCTTTCCATAGCTACAGAACCCCCAAAGTTGTTTTAATATTTTCATTTTTAAAAATGTTCATTTTAACCTTGTCATAATTAATCACAGCAGATTTTTCCAGCTCAAGCAATATGCTATCAGAAAATGCCCAATCTCTGTGCTCTCAGACATCTTCTGACAATATAAATGCACCTTGTCATGAAATAACCAATGGAATGAAACTTGATGTGAATAATTATGCTCATTTCACTTTGTCCCTGTTAATTCAAGTGGAATTTAGACGCACAACTTTCACATTCAAGTGGAATCTAGACACACCATGTGAAAGTTGTAGGATGACCTCGTTTTGCAAACTTGTAAAATTGTGATATGTTTGGGAGTCAGGGAATTAATTATACACTATTCTCTGAGTTTTATCTAAATTAAGTATCTTGGTGCTTTCAATGCAGGAGTAATCGAGGGCAGCAGGAGCACGTTTCTTCTCTATATAACAATGCAAGATGGTAAATGTCTACTCAGAAAAAAACTGGGATGAACACAGGCACAGGTAAAAGGCTATCATTTAAATAACTTTATATTATTTTGACACAGGAAAAGATATGCTCACTCAAACAAAGGCTATCTAGTCCAGTGTTCTGTTGCCACATTCAAAGATTTGCAAGGCATGAGTGGAACAGCACTCTTCTCCTGCACATGTTCCCAGCAATCAGTATACATAAAATGCAGTCATGGCAGTGCATGGATATGCTGGCTCATATATTTTTTTATATTTTCCATCATCAACCGTAACTTAGGTTAAATTCCTATCACCAGAATTTATCAAGAGACCATTATACAACTACATAATCACATTAGCACACAATTCTACAAAAATCACTTTAAGGTTAGTTGGTGGCAAATAAGTACCTGGTCAGCTGAATCTAATTTTTCCAAAACAAAAAACAAACAAGCAAACAAAACCTTGAAACACGACTCTAAAGCTGCTCTTTGGGGTCTATTGGTGCTTTCTAGAAAAGTCTACAAGAGTCCAACTTGGCATTTATGCTTTGCTACTTATGCATCATTTCCTGACAAAACATACCTGTGGTGTCCCATATGTCTGGCCCTTTTAATGTGTCCGATGCCTTTGCAGCCTGCTGTAGGGCACCCTCCTTGTTCTAATGCTTCTACTAGCTCCAAGGGACCTATACAAACATTTCAAGAGGCAAAATAGAAAGCCCGTTGTACATTACAAAGAACAGAATAAAACAAAACTAATATGGAAATTCCAGTTCCACTACCATCTATTTTAAATGCTACAGGAGAACAGTACAAGTAACCATGGTGGAATACCTGAGTTTTCTTATATATTCTCCTTTCATTATATCCTTAGCCTAACTGTGATAATTTTTTAAGCCTATGAATATTGATCAAATATTCAGTACTGTTATTCAGTACAAAATACGCCGGGATTCAGCACTCTCATGGCAATTTCTTCCACAGGCTCCCAAGTGCTTGTGATTTTTTTCCAAACTTTCTGTTCTTGACAAACATCTCTGTTACTGCAAAAAGATGCACACTTGCACAGAAACAGAAGTATATCAGCAAGGAGACTGTCTCCTGAGAATGTTCTTAGGAGTCCCTGATTGTCATTGCTTTCCAGCTGTACCTCATTTCCCTCAAAGATTCTGCAAATATGAGTATAGATGATGATCGAAGGGATGCACTTGGCTCTAATTTGCCCCATGTTGTTCATATACAAAGAAAACCAAGCGAATGGCAAATGTCTTAGCCTGTCGTCTTTATACTTTCACTAGGTTACGCGGCATCTTACTAAGAGGGGGCTGAAGAGGATGTCCGGTTTTCGCACACCAGCCAGCAGGATGGTTGTCAGGACTGTCTGCATCGACCCAATAATCATAAATGCCGTCCCAGCCGTCAAAGTGGATCTAAACACCAAGGAATGGTATGATCAGATTATAGTGAAGGCCTGCATCCCTGTTATGTCCTGGCTGCCCTGCTGTCCAAGTACAAAACTGTCAAGAAACAATACTTATATTTAAATTACAGGCATTATGCAAGATAAAGTAAAAATACCAAATGATGTCAAATTAGGCACTAACTCCTATTCATGGTAATTACAGCAGTTTTTATGTCAGCTTCACAGAGACAAGAACTATCCAATTATACTAATAGCAGCTAATTCATGAAGGTCTTGGCACATGAGTTTAAAAGGACTGCTTGATTATATAAATCATTCTGAATATACAAGTCCTCACCAGACCAGCAAAAATTGTGACTCACCGTGGGATCTGGAAAGTTATACTCTAGAAAAGTAACTTTACAAAACTCTGATTGCCTTTGGCTCCATGGATCACAAACTGTGCAGGCTTATCCATACAGCTGAATCACTTCTGAGCAATTAAAATGTAATATTGAATAATATGTTTGTGTGTGTTTTTAAAAAACATACATGACATGTTCATGCTGAGTGAATTCATATTAAATGAACAGTCTTGAGAAACAATCATGAGAACAACCACCACCTCCCAGAAATAGGAAGCTCCAAGACTGGAGGTCAAAGTATCTCAAAAACAGCATCAAATACATAGACCCTGGGAGCTCTTGATTTTTAACACTCTACACTGTTATTCTGAACGCTGTATTATACTGCAACTATGTGCCAAGAAAATACTAAGTAAATCAGTTTATGACTAATACAGGAAGAAATCTGGGTTAAATCTGTGCCATTTATTTGAGATGTCTATATCTGGTTTTCTGAAAGTTTCTAGTCCTCAAGGTCTTAAGCCACATGGGTAGGGGCAGGGAGGTGACCAGGGGAAGAATTTCAATTACCTTTATTCTGTGATCATCAGTATCTACAACTGTGGCTACCCTGATAAGTACAGGATTCCTCTTGTCAACTACTTCAAGTTTCATATTCTTCTGAAATCCATGAAATGGCTTCTAAAATTATAAAGTTTATTACAGTTTCATTTATAACATACATTTCTGTTAAAACCCATCAGCGAAGTGGCTGTTAAAGAAAGAGAATACTGTATTTGCCGGCGTATAAGACGACTGGGCATATAAGCCGAAACCCCCCCCCCAACATTTCCACTCAGAGTGGACAGCTCTGCTGCAGCGCCGGCGGCAGCTGACCGGGCCCGCCCTGGAAGTTCATGGGACCATGCTCCACTGTCCAAAGTGTGAGCACAGACTATGCCTATGACTCAGAGTGGTTTGGGGATTATCCTACTTAAAAACCACATGACTCCACGAAGGTCCATGAGGGTCTGCACCTCAGATCCATTCTTTCTTCCACCAAGACACCTCTTTGCTCCACCTGCACCTCAGGCCTCTCCCATTTGCCTCCCTCTAGATTAGACTCTCTCTCCCTCCCCTCTCCTCTCTCTCCCACACACACAGAGCAGAAGTCACATTTAGGGGTTGCAGCCCACTGTGCCCCCCCACGCATCCTCTCTGCCCATTTTAAACTTTGTTCCATGAAAGGCTACATGGTGTGTGTGTGGGGGGAGTGAAGATTAATAAGGAAAGGAAGGGAGAGAGGAAAGGAAGAGGAAGATGGAGAATAAAGACATAAAATGTCTTCCTTCTGCTCCTGGGTTGATCCTAGCTCCCAGAGAAATTCAGGAGGACTGGGGAAACAGGTGGTGGGAGACCACCATTGATGTCACTGCCACCACCTCATCTCTTCCTTCCAGAAGGCAACCACAAAGTTTTGCTTACAGCAGGTGGGCAAACAGCCTTCCTCCTACTCACTTCTCCTTCTCCATCAAAGGAGAGACAAACACACACACATACACACACAAACACACAGAGAGAAGAGGGGGGGGGAAGCGCCTATCCGGCGGCAGGCGGGCGAGTGGGCAGCTGGCTCAGCGGCGAGGAGGAGGGGAAGCGAGTGGGCGGGTGGCGGCAGTGGAGGAGGAGGGGAAGCGGCTGTCCAGCGCTGGGCTCTGGCCACTCAGGCATGGCCGGCTCTGCTTCCCTCCTTCCGTCTGGACTGACCACATGCCTGCCTGGCTGCCTTCCTCCCCGACAGGCGTGGCCCTGTGTCATTCACTCAACGGTGATGGCGGTGGCGCCTTCCTGGCCCAACTGAAGTGCACCCGGCGTATAAGACGAACCCCCCTTTTGGAGGTATGTTTTTGGGCCAAAAAAGTCATCTTATACGCCAGCAAATACGGTATATTCTAAAGAATAATTGTATAACTTATAATTACTTAAGTTAATTGGCTGATAGACACATGATGCAGCTGAGATACATCTGAATTTTTTTGTAATTTAAAATTTTAAAATGTAAATACTACATTTCTTAAATAAGAATTACAACAATAATTATGAATCTGCATGAAAGGATGTTGACTCTACAAGTAATCTGTAAGCAGAATTAACAGAACGCCTTGCTATAAGAAAATCATAATGTAAATAATACTCTAGTAGTTAAGCTAACACAATTAATCACTGTTTTAAGATCATCTTTTTCATGATTTAAATCAATGAATCTTGACATGATGTTTCCTATACATCTGTTTTGCTAACACCTCTCGTTCTAAACTCATTTGCCATCCATTGTTATGATGACAGCTAATTTTCACCTAAAGTTCAAGATAAACAAACATCAAGTGAAACAAGGCTTGCCGGGGGAACATGTCAGAAGTTTTTGAAACAATGGGGGAAATCCTGCTGCATAAAGATACTGAGGCATAAATCTGATCTGTGGCTGGAAATCACGAAATTGAAAGCTTTGCTTCTGCCAAGATTGGGACTAGCAGTAGTGATTTGGCAACTATTTTTGACTATTAAAGGCTTCCTTCCCCATCCTGATTTTCCCAAAACTTCCCCAAAAGAAGCCCTAGGGAGCCTTAGAACCTGAAAGGAGAGGGGACAGGAAGCTTTCAATTAATTTAAATTAATTGTTTCTAGCACTGGATCCAGTTTATGCAAGAGGATTTTGCCAGTGAATGATGCTACAGTAACTGGTCCCCTGTGTGTGATTTTTAGATCAATTGTTATGCATTACTGCTTTGAGTGGATTTTCAGTACTACTTGCATTTTCCAGTTGTGTGTTTTCCATTTCTCAGAGTAGCACTTTTAAAATATTTGTATACTTATTGTTCTTCTTGTGTGTTTTCCATTTCTTAGAGTAGCACTTTTTAAATATTTGTATACTTATTGTTCTTGATGTAAGATGCCTCTTTATATTCATTGTTCTTAGTTTTAAATATTATCTGAATATAATCTGAATATAACATAAATATTATCTTTTAATGATGTTAACCACTGTTGCATACTCATTGATTTCAACTTTAAATATTGTCTTTCAATGTTATAAGCTGCCTTGGGTCTTCTTCAAAGAGAAAAGATGGGTACAAAATATTTTAAATAAACATAAACATGTTTTTGCTGAACCTTCCTCCACAGAAACTGGTTCTTCATGACCACCTTCAAGGAGAAAGGATGGGTACAAAATATTTAAAATAAACATTAACATGTTTTTGCTGAACCTTCCCCTCCACAGAAACTGGTTCTTCATGACCACGTGTGTTATCCTCCTCGGAACCCATTATTATCTGTCTGCTATTTTAAGTCAAACTTCCAAAAATCGATACATCGCACCAGATTTTTTAAGCTTACATTTAGAAATTTTTAAGCTTATACATTTCTAGAAGGCTAATTGAGAACTACTAACCATGACAATGGGGTGGAACCTGATTCAGAGGCAGTAACATTTATATAGCAGTTGGTGGAAACAAGAGACACAGGGAATATTTTGGAGGCAATAAGCCTGGTTCCTCCTTTGAGTTCATTATCCATGAGCCAGATGAGGTCAGGAGACAGAGCAATGCCGTCATACATCAAAAGTCCCTTCCCAATGTCCTGCCTAGAGTTTCTCCAGGGGGAAAGTGAAGAAGGAGCAAAACAAACTTAGCTGAAACTTCAGTTCGTCACCCCCATGTGCTGGATGAGAGCACAGAGGTCAAGGATGACCAACACAAATGAAACACAACCTCAAGGCTGTGTGGCTCTTTTCCTGGGTGGGCAGGGTATGGCTTCCCCATGGGGAAGGGACAGAAGACTGAAGCCTCATGGGCTGGGAGAATCAGCTTGGTGGGTCAAAGTTGATTTATGGAGCAAGAGCTTCTCATCTCTGTCTTTAGAGATTGCTTTTGAGCTTCTGAGAAATATCTGGTTGGCTACTGCTAGAAACGGAATGCTAGATTAAAATAATCACCGGCATGTATTAACAAAGTGTTTCTCAATGTTGTACTAGACTACTCCTTTATGTAGTCACAGTTCTCTTTAACTGTCTGCATAGAAGCCTGCCTCCTAGCTCTTGCTCAATCACTGATGTTTATACCTTGGTCAGTAATGAAAACCAAGATGGCTATAACTAGTGGTCCAGATTTGGCTGAAAGGTCAACAGCTGCAGACCTCTGAGAAACATACCCTATAATATGTATCTGATGGCGTCTATCAATGGCAATATTACATGAGCTCATAAATACTAATCATAGAGGCAGCAACAATGGAAGCTAATAAGCAAGATGAATATGAATGCACTGGAGAGATTTCTTACCACTTTAAAAGCCCGGGCAGGTGCTGGTAAAGAACCGGTTTCTTCCAAATATTTCTCCCAAGAAAAATGTTTGGCATGTGGATAGTCTAATAAATAAATAATAGTACAGCTGTTATGTTGCACAACAGATGTATTTAGGGTACTTTCCAGACCTAATTATTCAGTTCAAAGAATATAGTGATTCACACTCCCCTCATCCCAGCCTTCATTAATATACAGTAATGCAATATGAATATAATATAATGCAACCCTGTGGAAGGAACTGCAAGTTCCAGAAGTCATACCTAAGACATTCATACCTGATTCAGAGTTGATGCACATCTCCTATTTTTCACCTTATGTCATTACTTCTTTGACAAGATCACAGAGAGGTTAATATATATAGTACAGTGGTGCCTCACATAGCGATCTTCATTACTTCTTTGACAAGATCAGAGAGGTTAATATATACAGTACAGTGGTGCCTCGCATAGCGATTGCTCCGTTTTAACGTGTTTTCTATGGGGAAAATTCGCTTTGCGATGATCGCAGGGAAGCGATCATCGCAAAGCCCCCATTTTAGGCCAGCTGATTGGTGGTTCCAAAATGGCTGCCAGGTAAACAAAATGGCTGCCCGCTGTGTTGCCTCGCTTTAGAGGCACCGAAAATGGCCGCCGCAATGGAGGATTTTCGCATAAGGTTAGTTTTCAAGCCCATAGGAACGCATTAAACACGTTTCTATGGGCTTTTTAATATCGCTTAGTGACATTTTCATTCTGCAGTCATTTTTGCGGAACGGATTAATGTCACTAAGCGAGGCACCACTGTATTTAGTTTTTGTTCAATGTATTTTGTACAATGTTTATAACACATAGTCGCCCAAAATCCTGTTGTTTAGTGTAGTAAATCTATTGATTCCAATGGGCCTACTATAACTGTGACTTCTTTTATCATTTGAGTAGGGCATCTAAATCCCCATTACTTCAACAAGGCTACTCTTGTGTGATTTACTTTGCCAAGAGACAGGATTTTGACCTAATATATCTAAACAATAACATTTTAATCATAAAAAACTATTAAATGGTTTCACTGTTTCTTGGGCTTGTAAGCAAAAGATCTGGAGGCACATGCATCTCATCTCCAAATGTGTTGGAACCATATATTACTTTGAACCTATACGAATCATGTATCAGTTTTAAATATAGACACCCACCTGCTCACCTGGCAATTTTAGTGAAGTTGGTCTAAACTTAAACCCTACCCATTCAATGCACACAAAGCACACGTCAACTGAACACATGGAAAAATATTTTTACTGTGGGAAAGCTAATTTGACTTTTCTTCTTTTATGAATACCTATTGTTAACAAGGTAACAGCTTCAACGCATTGCTCGTTCCAGTTACTCATAAAATGGAAGTGAATTATATTATTGGTCTGAGTGTGTTATTTTACAGAATTTGCTATGAAGAAGCAACAATTAACTCAAATGACAGGTTAAATATTTATAGCATATGTAAAGGTTGCTCTCTAAGTAGATTTGCGTCCTCTAATTTCATAGCTGCAAGATATTGTTCATGATTTCCATAATTTATTGGTTCTCATTTGCTACATGTTAATTTTCCATAATGGAATGTTTCTTTTGCATAGTAACCTTTTCACCTTACTGTTCAGGGACCCATAAAGCCTTATTCACTCCCTTCTCTTATTATTACCTTTGCAAACTCACTCTTAATAGATAAAAATATCTCATTATACTTCATGAAATAACATTTATTTATTTATTTATTTATTTTATTTAACTTATATGCTGCCCACAGTACCCAAAGGTCTCTGTACAGATATGTGGTTTCATACAGACCTGGAGGGGTAACTAGTGTCTTTCTGTGTTCTTTACACCATCCAACTGGGTGAATGTGTGGACTAGCTGCTTCACACCTGCAGGGAAATATTTTTATTTAATCATGTTTCAATCCTACAAATGTCTTAATCATTACTTAGATTTCATTTAAAGCAGCTTATAGCGAATAGGGCACAGAAAAACATTAGGCCTCCCTGTAAAATGAAGACATAAACATGCTCCTCAGAATTATGTAAAAATTTTCTCAGACAGAGTTCATTTGAATATATTTATCCCAGCTTCTGGAAAGGTTAAAGGACTACAAAATAAATTTGTTCAGTTAGACATTGGTCTAAAGTGTTAGATTAGCTCTTCAAACAAGTCTGTACATACAGTGAACGTTATGGATGTTATGTTAAATATGCGTAGGCAAGCAATTCATGCTCTCAACGGGACAAATTCTAATACTGTAATGGTTCCTGGCCTGATCACCCCTCACAAGTACAAATCAAAGTGTATCTTTACAAGTTTGATTTCAAACTTCTTTCTGGCTCTTTTATTACTATTTATTACTCTATTTTTAAAGCTATTTTTACATGACATGAGCTGACTCAAATCTACAGAGAAAGGGAAAATTATTTATTTTGCCATGTGCAAACTGTTCAATAACATCAATTTTATGAGAAAACAACAGTCTTTGTTACAGGAACTGGACCACTCAATATACTGTTTGCAAGATTACTGCACAAAATACACAGAATTATTAATATGTCTTCTTTTCTGAATTAATCAACAGCTTTCTCCCCAGGACTGAACATACAGTATATTATCAAGACCTGAGACACACTCCTCCTAAATGACTACATTTAAAGGCACACAGCCAGTCTAAATATAAGTCATCCAACGTGGAAAAGGTAACCTAGCTGGTACCTGAACTAGCCTGTGGTGGCACAAGAAAAACCCTAAGTTTTATAACACTTTTAAGACAGACTGGTTTTACTTTTTCATAAGCTTTCATGTGTCTAAGCCATTCCATTCATCCGAAGAAGTGTCCCCAGATACATAAAAGCTTATGAAGAATCAAATTAGTTAATCTTGAAGGTGCCACAAGATTTCTGGTTTCTTTCAGTCTTCTAATAGCTTCCTTTTAAAAATATGTCATAACTGTGCCTAAGCTCACAAAGCAAAAGACAGAACATTCTTTCCGCACAACTTTTGCATTCTGATTTAATCCTGTTTAGTAAAGTCAGTTAGTAATCTAATACAGAAGTCATCTTACATCCCCATCTAGTGTTCAATGTAAATTTTGCAACAAACATACATTCTGTGATAATTGGAGCAATAGTCTGAATATTATTAGCATGAAACATTTCTGGGTGCCCAATTCTTAATGATAAAACAAACTCCTCTTATGCTTAAAAATGGTTCTGCAAAACATTTTGAACCTTAACAAGTGCAGTAGGTTAGCAATAGAGAAAAAGAATTTATTCTCCTTAATCTTATGCCAGCAAGTTTGGAAAACTCAGCAGTGGTCAGAGAATTGGAAAAGATCTATCTACATCCCAACCCCAAAGAAGGGCAGTGCCAAAGAATGCTCCAACTATCGTAGACTTGCACTCCTTTCACACACTAGCAAGGTTATGCTCAAAATCCTACATGGTAGGCTTCAGCAGTATGTGGACTGAGAACTCCCAGAAGCACAAGCTGGATTTCAAAGGGGTAGAGGAACTAGAGACCAAATTGCTAACATGCACTGAATTATGGAGAAAACCAGAGAGTTCCAGAAAAACACCTACTTCTGCTTCATTGACTACATAAAAGCATTTGACTATGTGGACCACAGCGAACTATGACAAGTTCTTAAAGAAATGGGAGTGCCTGATCACCTTATCTATCTCCTGAGAAATCTATACATGGGACAGGAAGCAACACTTAGAACTTGATATGGAACAACTGATTGGTTCAAAATTGGGAAAGGAGTATATTGTTTTCCTGCTTATTTAACTTATATGCAGAATACATCATGCAAAAGGCAGGACTGGATGAATCCCAAGCCAGAATTAAGACTGCCGGAAGAAATATCAACAACCTCAAATATGCAGATGATACTACTCTGATGGCAGAAAGTGACAGTTTCCTTCTGATCCCTCCATGCCATATCTTACTTACTTCTGAAGAGTCGCTCAACCCACAGGGAAGGCCTTCTGGGGAGTGAGGAGCAGTTAGCAAGTCACAACGAAATCAGAAGGAAGGCAGCGGAATGGAACATAGTCCTTACTAGCTTGTCTCATTGAAAAGCCCTATTTCCTCCTTTGCCTTCCAAGCCACAGCCAACTCATGTAGAAAAGAGCTCTTGATTCTTAAAGGATCCTTCTCCAATAGGCAGAAAGGCTTCCAGGAGAAAGTCAGCCTCCACCAGCCATGTAACATGCATAGCTCTCTCTATCTAACCCACTGGATTGAAAACTTTTGATGCTGAGGGCCCCAAGCAGTAGCTTTAAACAAGCTTTCTGTACGTTGGAATCATTTGTTTTTCCTGTGTTATCATTCACATGCTCGTTTTTCTGCATTTTCCCTAGTTTCCCTCCTCATTGACCTCCTTACTGCCAGATCTCCTAGCAACCATCCTCACCTGCTTTAAGGAAATCTGTCTCACATTTAAAACACAAATTACTAGTTGCAAGTGATAAAGTGTGCCAGTGATTTGCTTAATCCTGTTGCTTGACTTGGGGATCGAATATGTTCACACTGCCTATATACAAATAATATTGAACCATTTATTTGACCAAACTCCGGGAGGCAGTGGAAGACAGGAGGGCCTGGTGTGCTCTGGTCCATGGGGCTACAACTAAAGAACAAACAACAACAACTGAACCATTTAAAGTCCTCTCAGAATTCCACCTTAAAAGGTCTTACAACAACAGCTGAACCATTTAAATTCCTCTCAGAATTCCACCTTAAAAGGTCTTCTATTTGTGTATTTAAAAGGTAACTGTTTATATGTGCTCTTTTTGTGACAGAATAAATTTAAAACAAATAATGAAAAAACAGGTATTTGCTCAACATGTAATCTGAGTATGAGTTTTTATGAACCTGAAAGCTTGCTCATTGTTTGCAGCTTTTTAATTCATCCCATAAATATAAAATTACATGACACTATATTATAGCTTTTAAAAAAAAAAACATAGGAAGCCCTCTTGGTTAATCAGGAAAAATGAAAATATACTACAACCCAGCAGTATATCTGGTACTGCCTGAGGATCTTGATAATTATTGTAAAGGTTCTTCTCTGTGGATGGAGGGTGTCTTTGACTAATGCGTTTCCCGCTTACTCAAAGGCAGGACCTGTCAATCATATTTTAACCTCCATTCCAAGTAGGAAGGTGAACCCTCCTCCACCTGAAGGCAGTGCGACTGGTAACACCAATGCCAGGAGTGAGGCTGGGAAGCCACTCTAGGTTTCAGTTTGTAGTTCACAGTTATCTGATGTGCTGAACCTATCTTGGGCACATGCTTCAGCACCTTGGAGAGCTCCTGTAAAGTGCAGATGAAAGCCTAGGGTGGATTTAAAGCCCTGTCTCAAACTGGAGTCAGTTTCAGCTGCGCTGCGCCGAAAGTATAACAAGAAATACCAGTTCCAGTAACTTCCATGAAAATAGCAGTAGGTGGATGGAAGTCCACCCCTCATGAACAAACCTCCCCTCAGGGGAATAAGATGTCATCTCTATGCAGCAGAAAATGAACTTTCTCAGTCAATACCAATATTCCGTTTCCCTGCAGGGGGAAGATATCCTCAACTGGGACCTACCCAAAGGTCAGCAAAGAGTGGGAACAAGCTCTAGGAACATGTTGTCGTTGCTGTCGTTGCTCTTGTTGTTACTGTTATATACCATCAAGCTGTAACTGACTTACAGCTACCCTAACAGGGCTTTCAAGGTAAGTGAGATATTTAAGCAGTAGTTTTAACAGTTTTAACTCCTCCAGTGAGTTTCCAAGCTGAGCAAGAATTCAGCTCCAGGCCTCCTAAGACCTAGTCCATCACTCTGTTCACTACACCACACTGAGTACTACTGCCTATATAACTCTGAAGAGCTGCTTCAG